CGATCGCCTAAGCTTGGTCTTGACATACCGCTTCGGCGCAAGCTGGGTCACATCTATCTGGAGTGGGATCACTCCTCCAAAACGCACTTCACCAAAGCCGAACTGATCAAGCTTCATCGCGGTTTTTCCCATCCCACATCAGAGAAACTCATGAATCTGCTTCGCTTGGCCCGCCCTTTTGAAGCTGATGAGGCCACAAAGCAGTTTCTCGAGTCTCTGCAAGCTTCTTGTGACACCTGTCAACGCCTTGGCCCCACTCCTGTGCGTTTTAAAGTATCGCTACCCAATGAACAGGACTTAAAGTTCGGTGACGAATTGTTCATTGACCTGATGTTTCTACATGGAAAAGCAGTACTTCACGTCATCGACACAGCCACTAGATTCTCGTCAGCCATCTTTCTAGACGCTCATGGCGCCACTTATGGCCAAAGCGTTGAAGGTATTTGGCTAGCCTTCGTCGAAGCGTGGTGTACCTTGTATACTGGCCTTCCAAATAGACTTCGCGTTGACCAAGGATCCGCATTCACATCTGATCGATGGCGCCAGATAACTGCACAAGCTGGAATTCAACTTCGCATATCTGGTGTAAAAGCCCACTCGTCGTTAGGTATTGGAGAACGTCTTCACGGACCACTGCGAAGGATTTATAGAAAAGTACGAGCGGACTTCCCGGACGCCTCTCCGCTCATTCTTCTGAAAATTGCAGTCAAGGCAATGAACGACACAATCGGAGAGAACGGTCTACTCCCTTCTCTATTAGTCTTCGGAATTGTTCCGCGCTTCCCAATCATAAGTACGGAAATACCTTCGCAGCGTGAAAGAATGCAAATTCTTTCAACAGCGCAGATGGAAATGAACGCAATCATCGCAGAACGACGTGTACTTGCTGCTCTGAATCGGAACATCCCTCCAGCCTCCGATCGTGTGTATAATCTTGGAGACGAGATTCTAGTCTTCTCTGAGCAAGAGAAGCAATGGATTGGTCCATTCCTTGTTTGCAATGTTCACGGACGAATGATAACTGTTCAGAACAGCGAAGGAACTTATCGACAAACGTTCAACGCTTATCAAATCAAGCCATACTACGCTTCCCCCGAATCTATTCTCTACAAGCAAACTGCTCCATTCCGTAGTGGCAAAGCCTCAAATCCACCCAATAACGTCCTTCTTACTGAAGTTATACATCCCAATGATCCTCGTGCACAACAATTTGATAATGCTAAACGAGAGGAAATAGAAGGACTGATCGAAAGAGGTACTTGGAAGGTAGTGCTTCGCGATGAAGTTCCAGACAACGCAAACATCTTAAATGGACGATTCGTCCTCGCCATAAAAGGAACAAACAAGGAAGTATGGAAAGCCCGATACGTTGTACAAGGCCACAAGGACAAGATGAAACGGTCATTCGTTCACGACACCTCAACGGCACGACAGTTCAGCGTCAAACTACTTGTCGGTCTTGCTGCTCTTTTTGACTTTAGACTCTTCTCAACAGATGTCACACAGGCATATTTGCAGAGTACGGAAGAGCTCTCCCGTGATGTCTATGTTAAACCCTCATCTGAGTTCGACTTGGATTCTAATCAACTCTTGAAACTACTCAAGCCGTTGTATGGACTAGCCGATAGTGGTGACTACTGGGGTAGAACGTTAAAGCATCATCTAGAGAAGGAACTTGGGATGAAGGCCAGTGTAACCGATGCCGCCTTCTTCTTCAAACGAACTAGAGAGAAGCTTACTGGGCTATGTGCTACTTATGTTGATGACTGTCTACAAGCAGGCACTGAAGAGTTTTGTCAACAGGCCAAGTGTGTCGAAAGGAAATTCAAATGTCGACCGAGGGACTACGACAAGGTCCAATTTGCAGGCATTAAGATTGAATCCCCACCTAACGGATTCCAAGTACATCAGAAGCACTATATCTCCAAGATTAAGAACATCAGTAAGGAAGCTTCTTTCAAAGACTTTCGCTCACTTCGTGCCCAACTCGCTTGGGCCACTCAGTCCCGTCCGGATATTACATGCTCTATTGCACAGGCAGCTCAGGTTACTGAAGAAATCTTCAACTCGGACCCCACGAAGTACTGTAAGGGACTTAATTCTGTGGTAAAACATCTCCTTACCAGTACAGATCAGGTCCTCAAATTCCCTAAATTGGACCACAAAAGTCTTCGGTTACAAGTCTATTCCGATGCATCATACGGAAACAACCTTGACGGATCTTCTCAGTTAGGATATATCATTTTCCTTGCTGATGCAAATGATAATTGCCAACCATTGTTCTGGTCGTCGCACAAATCCAAACGCGTTTCCAGATCTGTCCTAGGAAGCGAAACAACGGCCTTTGCTGACGCTTTCGATATGGCCTTCGCAATGAAAAACGATCTTCACACCATGACATCGCTGGAAATTCCGATCGTTATGCTTACGGATAGTCTATCCCTGTTTGATGTTATCACTAAAGCAAAGATAACATCCGAAAGGCGACTAATGATCGATGTTAAAGTTGTCAAGGATGCATACCAGAGACACGAACTGCACGCCATTGGCTTCATTCGCTCCGAACACAACCCCGCAGATTCTTTGACCAAGGTGAAGAAAAGTGATATACTGATCGAGATGATACAACGGTCAATTCTTACACATCCTATCGAACAGTGGATCAATCACAATTCGTGAACACATGACATATGTCACGAAAAGGTTTGGGGAGTGTTAGACTTATTGACTAGACTACAGTAGATATCACACTTCTATGTTATCAATATCAATTCAGGGATTACGTAGGCTACATTTAGCTATCAATTATAGAGTCCCTTAAGGACGTGCCACCTACAATTCTACTTGTTTAGGGTGTAACCGTTTAGACATATTTCGTGGGTGCCGCAACCTCCCTTTTATGGTAGTGCGCCTACTTTTATTGTAGAGTCAATAGGACTATAAAGCCAGGTCGAAGACGCTACTCGTCTTCGACCTCAGCACATTCGATCACCTGAACCATCAACCCGACAACCCCGTCCCCCCCGACCGTGCTCACCGTCCGTAGCGGTTCTGAGGCAATAGCCTGCCGCTCCTCCCCCTCCCATTAAGGTAACCCTATTTACCACCCCTTTTCCCCTTTACTAAAATCCCCTCCGGACCGCCCCCTTTCGGTCGGTCTCCCGACAACTTGGGGCGATTCGGAGGCCAATAATCTGACGATCTTTCATTGTTGCCTGGAAGTGGCAACAAGGCCCACGCATGTAGCCAATTATATGACCGTGAAAAGAAATGCATGGCTGGACGTTCGCAAGTATCTTTCTATCATTGCTGCCAATCCACAATTCGTCGAAAGCATATTCCTCATCACCCTATCACATCACCCCACTCCAAAACAGCCTGTCCCCCCAAAATCCCGATCACCTTATCCCGACTCATAGCCTCGCATGCATCTCCCCTCCTTCCTCCCCGCCCCGAGATCGGCAACCCAACGCCGCAATGCCCGACTCCACCCCAGCCCTCGTCCCACCCCTCTCCCCGCCTCTCATCCGCACTCTCCGCTTCTCCGCCGCCTTCCCGCCCCCCACTGCCTCCGCCCTAGCGCCCTCCCTCCGCCGCATCGCCTCCGCCCTTCTCGCCGTGCAAGCGCAGGACCCCGACGCGGCGCTCCTCTCCTTCTGGCTTCGTCTCCCCTCCCCGCGCCCCCCGCGCGCCGTCCTCGCCCCGCTGCTCCTCTCCGGCTCGTCGCCGGCCGGCCTCTCGCGCGTGTGGGCGAACCGCATAACCCTGCAAGTCGTCACCACGCGCGACCGCGCCTCCCTGTCCCCCGCGGTGCTGTCGCAGCTTCGCAAGGGCACCCTCTCGTCCGTGCGCCGGCTGCGGCTCGCCGCCGCGGCCGAGCGCGTCCTCGGCTCCGTCGACGCTTCCATGGGCGTGTGGCTCGCGCAGGGCCGCCGCGTGACCTCGCAGGACGTGGACGCGCGCGTGGAAGAGGAACTGGATCGCGAGCGCCGCGAGGCCCGCGCGGAGGAGAGGAGTTGCTTCAGCGCAGAGGCGGTGGGGGACGCGCGGCGCGTGCTCAGGTACTCGCTGTTCGTGCTGGCGACGGCCGACGGGCGCGCCGAGCGCGTCATGACGCCGGGCGACGGGAGACGCATCGTCGTGCAGAAGAGCGAGGGGGTACGTGAAAGAATGGTGGGCATGGAAGAGGGGACGAGGGAGTGCGTGAAGCGCTACTTTGAGGGGTACGGCCCAGCGACGGAGGCGGATGTGAGGTACTGGCTCGGCGTGCCGGCGGCGCAGAGCAAGCAGGCGGTGGAGGGGCTGGTGGAGGACGGGGAGCTGCGGCGGGTGCATACGGAGATGGGGGAGATGCTGGTGCGGAAGGGGTGCCGCGTTGAGAGGAGGGAGGAGGGGGTGCGATTGGTGGGGCGGTTCGAGCCGGTGTTGCTGGCCCATAAGGATAAAAAGTGGGTGGTGGACGAGGGTGTCAGACGGAGGGTATGGAGTAGGAACGCGGATGTGGTGGCGTGCGTGCTGGTGGGCGGCAGGGTGAAGGGCGTGTGGAAGAAGGAGGCCGGTGGGATCAGGGTTAGGCTGTTTGAGGGGGGTGTTGAGGAGTGGGTCGGGGAGGTGTTTGGGAAGGCGAGGGAGATATTGGAGGGGTTTTACGGAGTTGAGGGGACGGTCGAGGTGAGAGTTGAAAGGGAGGGCGAGGCTGTTTTGATCGAGGAGGGTGGCGCAGGGGAGGTGGCAGGCAGGAAAAGGCGGAGGAGGCGATAGCATGGCAAGCGAGGGGCGAAGAAGTTGCGAGGCTGGTGCTGGTGCTCGCGGTGCATTTTATGAATGGTCAAGGGTACTCTACGTTACGGGGGGGCGGCTCAATGTTTTCTGCTTTTTTCGAATTTGTCAGCATTTTGGAAGCGTTGATTGGATCCGCACATCGTTCAGTGCCGCAAAACTCCTCACCTGTGTAGCTGGACGAGGTCTCGTTGAGTGTGCTAGATCCAGGAGCGGCAAAGTTACAAACCCATGCGGACGGCAGCTGCAATGGCGGCCTCCTCCACCACGGACTCGTACCGCGCGGCGAACGACGTGTACTCAAGGCCGTCGGTCTTGGACGGCACGCGCATACCGATGCTATATCTCGGGCTGTTTACCTTGATGATACGCTCCTCGCACTCGACAATCCGGCAGTAGTTCTTCATCATCATCGCCTTCCCAGCGTATCTCACAATATGTCCCTGTGTAGCGCAGCTTCCAAAGGCGTCGCACAGAACGCGGCTGGAGACGTGGCGAGAGTAGACGAGCTCGTGCGTCTGCAGGTGCTGCAAGGCGGCGGCGTCGATGCACACGGCATCCTTGACTACGTCTTCCAGAACTTCCTTTTCGTCGTCGGAGAGACACACCTTCTCGCCGTTCTCCAACTCGGTGCACTTCTTTTCGCCGGGACAGTCGTCGTCGGACGAGCACGTGAAGTCCATCGAGGGAAAACAGAAGCACTTCTCGTCCGACAATTGGCACTCTGCGGTCATCAGCCCACTGCATGTGGTACCGGTTGGGCAGTCACTCCCGGAGCTGCACGTGGCTTGGCGCAGCGCATGGAGCGGGAGCGACGGCGCGGAGAGAGACGCTGTGATGAGGGTGAGGGGCAGGAGGAGGAGGAGGAGGGAGGGAGACATGACGGCGATTATTGTGTGTTTGGGTCGCGGAAGTTTCGGAGTTTTGGGGTCGGGTGGGGTGCTGGAGCGATGACTGATAGTGGGTGGCGATGCGCGGGGTGTGGGGGCGGCCCGTATTTATAAGACTGCGGGCTTCGGGTAGTGTCAAGGTGTAACAGTAACCATTGTGAACATAAATCGGTTTTTTTCCGGTACACTTGCCCTCACTCCACAAAATTATCCACAAAATAAGATCAACAACTCCATTCTCCTCCGAATAAAAGCCATTCCGGTTCTGCGCTCTTCACATTGCTTGTTTACGGGCAACAAAAAGCACATTAGGGACATGCATAGCCGCTTCGAACCAGCAATAAACGCATGAAAACAAGTCCATTTACCGATCATTACAAAAACCGGTCATTTAATCTATCATATCTTGGGCACCGTGGCCCAGCACAGGTCAAATTAAGGGCCCATATTCACAGCGCGTTGTGCTCGTTGGCGAGCAATCATCCGCCTGACGTCACGGGTCTCATGGCAGCGAGCACGCCTGCTAACGCGTTCCGGACGAAGTTACTGAGCAAGTACAAGTACAGAAAAATAAGTTGAAAACTAACCTCATCTGAGGACACTTGCCATCCAGACACGAGGGCCTACAACACTTCTTACTTCATGGCGGTCTGGACCAGGTTGTTTTAGTTTAGATGTCACTCTGAGGGACACAAACGACTCTGCATGAAATGGTGGATATTTCAAAATCGAAACGTATGCAACAGCATTGTTGTCGAGGAAAAATTCACAGCTCTTGATCTGTCTAGATGGACCCTGCTAAATCCTGAATTTGGGCGGGTGAATTGTTGCAACCATGACGTCTTGATGCTGCGATCAATATCGTACTCTCCGAGGATTGCAGAAACGAGGGCTTTCGAAAAGCAGCAGAAATTTCGTGACATGGGCCTACAGAACTTTAGCTTACATGTGGTCCAGTAATCGGAAGAATAAAATGTTGTATTTTCGGTGTAGAGTGGTCTTACGATTCCATTATTTCTAGAGGGGCCGTACACAATGTGCTGCTCTCTTCTTTTCCCCCATAACATTATTATAAATGAATTCTACCACGCACTCTGATAACTCTCTCGCCGGAACTCTAGACCCCTGCATCGACAGGGACATCTTGTTGTAACGGATAAATTACAGAACAAGCCATCATAAGAGACATCATCTCTGCAATAGAATAAAACACTGTCTGGTGTGGTAGTAGCGCCATCCAACTGCTTATTTCAAGTAGAAATGCTAGAAAGCGATAAGCATTTCATGGCACAGATTTGGATGTAGTGGTTAGAAAGCCATCAATAGTTTCGCGAACATTGAAACTTCTCCAAATCGCATTCTGGCAAGTCTTGTGTCATTGTGATTGATTTGCAAGTCGTTGGGGTGGGTCAGAGATTATTATTGGGACTTTTCTGGTAGAACGACTCTATGCATGGAGAAAGATATCTACCTTCGCACTGAAGATCTGGAAGAATGTCATGAACACTGCTTGTTTTTCTATTACAATACTGAAATGTCCTTCACCAATTCAGTGTCACTACGACAAAGTTATAGACTCTGTTCATAACCGTACGTGATTGCAGTAAGAAGTAGCCGAGACAAGATCTCTAGTTTTTAATGCCAACCGTCCGGAAATGGTTTCGCAATAGTGTGTAACAACGCCAACGTCTGCTGGACTTGGTTATTGTTTCAGCCAAATTGTCTTCCACGCAGGCTCAGCCAATTTGGCAAAATATGGCCATGCCGCCGCCCGCTTTACTTGGTTTATCGTTTCAGCAGCCAAATATCCTTCTACGCATGTTCCAATAGTTCGGCACAGCGTCTTCCTTTGGGGAGGTTCCGCACAGTAAAGTAGTCAGTCCTCCTTTCTTCTGCAAACCAGCATTTAAGTAGATCCGACAATAAACCTCGAAGGATTTCCGCTATCGAAGCATCACCTTTTCCCCCAAAGCCAACTTTTTTCTTTCGCCCTGCTCACCACCAGGTGTGGCAGCACAAATCGACAGAGTTTCTACATGAATGTAATGCTTGGATACGAATCTACATTGTCTCTCAAAGCGGCGACGACGTCCCCGGCACGTAAAGTAATCTCATGGAATCATATCATTTTGCAAAGAGTGCGCACTTTGGTGTTTGCCCGTCGCATGCTTCCAGGAAAGGTATTCGGCGCAAACTTTAGTATGCTTCCCTTACTGCCGAAATATTAAGGGAGATCCTTACGGTGATCCTTGCCGCTTTATGTTCTGTCGACTCTGATAAGGAGCATTAGTTCGGCCGTTTTAGTCCTCGTATGTTGATGAAGGCAGGATGAGTTGCATTCGTACGTAAGGGCATCTATCGTTTACTGCGACTTGTCGTTGGAAAATAAAATCTATGGTTCCGGACTGCGTGACGAAGTATTCCAATGTACGCCGTACTAAGGACTGGGCGGACATCTAAGGCAGGAAAATTGTTGCTCTTAGAATGTCGCAGTCCAGATCAGGAATGGATTATTGCTTTGCCAAGCACGGCTTAGGTGAGACCACTATTGTCTCGATTTATCATCATGCTGCTTTACATATTGTGTATCTTCAACTAACGGGTAAAGAAGCGCTCGGGTGTTTCTGCATGCTTCAGATCGCGGAGACTTAAAAGACGTCAGGGCCTTCCTATCTCGCCAGGCTTAGACGATCGGATAAATAAGTGAACTCCCCACACCATGTGCTCCAAGTGAGGGGATGGATCTGCAAGGCGGCTGTGTTCCTATAACATGGGAGGGGGGGCGGGCTCCCGTAGCATCAAGATACATTGAAAGTCATGTGTAGAGAAGGCGAAGTGGATACGCGCGTCCTCCGGCTCGCTTAGTGTCACCAACAATATCTTCCTGTTTTCGTACTCTTCCTTTGTCCCGAATTGCGCGCTGACGGAAAAAACAGATGAGGCCCTCGGAACGCAAGGACCAGGTCGTTGCTGCTACGGATCTTGAAGAGCGTAGAAAGACGTAGTTATCAGGTATCTCCGCCCTCTGCCTCTCTGCAAATGCCCGGAAACTCCCGCGACTCACAGTACTACAAACGCATTGTTTTTACTATCGACTACAACAACAATTTAAAAACGACCATTCGCCTACCCTCTTATTCCCGTTACTAAACCTTCCCATGTGCGTTCCTCTCATGCCTGTCTCTCTGAAGTGGGCGAGTAAATCTCTTCGGACACTTGGTGCATTGGAACATATTATCTATATCATGAGCAGAGCTGATGTGGTATGTCAGGCTGGTTTTGTTCGAGAAGGATGCTTTGCATGTCCCGCATTCATGTTTCACAGGTACCTGTCTCTCATGAGCGACTCGCATATGAAATTTCTTTGTCGCCTCTTTCGTAAACGTAAGAGAGCAGTGCTCACACTGGAAGGGTTTGCCTCCATGAACAGAGAGAACGTGCTGACCCCTTTCGGAATCATCTTGGAAATCTGTATTGCAGAAGTCACATATATACTTCCTCCGAACTGAGTCCCATTTGTCTTTGCCTACAGTTAATCTCTCACTTGTTTGTGATTCACTTGTTTGTGATTCACTTGTTTGTGATTCACTTGTTTGTGATTCACTTGTTTGTGTTTCACTTATTAGTGTCTCGTGAGCAAGGCGGGTGTGAAATGCCTTTGTCGTCGACCTCGCAAACGTAAGAGGGCAGTGATCACACTTGAATGGATCCTTGCTATGATTAGAGAGAATATGCTCACTCCTTTCGGAATCGTTTTGAAATTTTGAACTGCACATCTCGCAAGCATACATCTTCCCAACTGAGTGCCCCTGGTCGTTGTCCATGGTCACTCCCTCTGTCCCTTGTCTCCTATGAGCGAGCCGGGTGTGAAACTTCTTTGTGGCCTCTCTCTCAAACGTGAGAGGGCAGTGATCACACTTAAACTGGCTGCTTCCATGAACAGAGAGAACGTGCTGACTTTTCTGGGAATCATTTAGAAATTCGGAACTGCAAAAGTCGCACTTCTGTTTCTTTCCAAATGAGTGCACTTTTTTCTTGTGCACGGTTAATCTCTTCTCATCCATAAAGCTCATGTTACATTCTGCGCACTGATAAGGGTCACTGGAGAAAGATAGAAGGGGTTTTGTGGATGCGGACGGCAATTCTGGACTTTTGCTTTGAACTTTGACGGAGGGTTTCGCAGAAGGCTCAGTTGCTGTTTTCTGGGGCCCCGGAACTCCAACTGCTGGCGTAAAATTCACTTCAGTTGGTTCGGGCTCTGAGGTTTCATTCGTATTTTGAGACTGTACAAGTTCGACATCCCAATCGTCATCGGAGGTATTGGAAGTCTGGTACTTGTTGAAGGCAGAGTAGTTGTGGTTCATTTTTGTTTGAGCTGTGATTAATATGCGAATATGTGATGTATCTGATAGTTCAATGTTGTAGTGGAAGATGGCGAGGAAAATTGACAGACGGCAGGATCCTTCGGTATTTATAGTGACACATGAATAGCGTGGAGGAGTGATACGAAGTCCGTTCATTGACGACAATCTCCCATTCTTTCACAGATTACTGTCCGCAAGAAACCGATGGCATACCATTTCTGACACACACTTCTGTGGTACTTTTCCATGATAGAATATTGACACACCCGTTAATGGCTACATATCTGGTATATACTTCGAATTAAACAATTTTACCCGGACACAAACCCAGTACTCTCCAAAAAAAAGTCTACAAGAAACGACCGGGCGTTGACAAAAACGGAGACCAACTACTTCAGGAGGGAAAAAGTGTAGTTTAATGCGACCCTC